TTTTTTTTTTTTTATCATTTAACACATTGTGCATGTGCATATGTAAATGAAAAGGCCGGAGAGTACAAAGAAAAATAACAGTTGAATCATGTAGGGACATACACAAAATAAATACAGATAAATATAGATAGACACAAGATAACATTTGTACAACTTGAATAAATGAGGTAAGGTATTCCAGAGTTGTGTAATAGAGGCATTAGTGTTTTAACTATATTTTAGTAAGCTGTGTGCGCTCCTGTTTGTATTGTTAATGCAACACTTCCTGCATATTTGCTTGTATTCTTTCTTCTCTAATGTTCTTTTCCACAACATGTTTATATAAAACCGTCTTAGTGTTAAGTAAGGCAGTACTAGTAATAACATTACAATAATAACATACTTTCACCAATAGCAAGTAGTGTAACTAATTACTAATACATTTCAGAAATAATATTTACAACAATACTTCTACTTTATTAAGTTATTAAAATCAATCCAATGTATATGCTTGACAATTAAATAGCTCTGCATTGCATTAAGAAACAACATGCCTGTATCGAAGCTGTTCCTTAATGGTTTTTTTTTTTTTTTTTTTTTCACAATAAACACACCCATTTCATTAATTGTTTTCTATAAAATGTCAGAACATAGTGAAAATGTCCTTTTCCCAAGCTCAAGGTGTCGTCTTCAACTGTCTTCTCTCTAACCACAAAGACATTCTGTTCACAATGATATAAGACAGAGAAAAGCAGCAAATCCTCCCAATCAGAGTATGGCTGCTAAGTCAAATGTACTTTAACTCACAGAAGAGATGGACAGAACTACCAAAAAATACAGACATTACTGCCAACATTACTTCAAAACAGTAACAAATAAAAAGCTACTGTACAATAAAACGTGTTTCAGTTTATAGCTGATATCCTCTGCTCCTCTCCATCAGCCAGGAGCCTGTCAGACAATAATCGCAATAAAAATTAAATAAAATGTCTGCTTTGCAGGAAAAGTATCCAATATAATCTCTTATTTAACCAAAAAGTGAATGAAAGAGAAAGAAAGTGCAACCAGAAAGAATCTGAGTGCTGTCAATTGGGTATATCTATAAATACTGCAGTACCCAGAAGCCTCAGCAGACACTGTACATCCACACCTGGGAAGTCATATTCAGAACGCTTTGTCACTGCAGTCAGGAACAAATCAACAACTACAGCCTTCTGATTGGATGTTTCTAGCAAAGCTCTCTGGGACTTGTAGTTGACCTCTCTCCTTTTATGGACAGTCTGTTTCAATAACAGAGCGTTTCATTGTTTGCACAGATATTTCAGCCAGGTGACATTCACGTCCCACAGTCAGCTCACACTGATGAAGCCCCGCCCACTGAGCTGCTCTTCTTTCTCAAGCTAAAACACAAGATACAACAAAGCTAAAGCCTCTGGAGCAGAGTCTCAGCTCAAACTGACACTGAAGCTGCAGCAGCCTGACATTAAACAGTGGCTGATGGTACGCTGATCTACCACTATGTGCCCATTATAAACAGCATGTGCAGGGCTGAGTAGTGGGACAAAATGATCTCAACTCAAGTTCCACTTACTAGCTTTTTGTGGAGCTTTCAACCATGACAGCAGCAGACAACTGAGACAACTGACTCTTCCTAAGTCCCGCCCCTTTTGCTCTGTGCTCCAAATAACAGTTGAGCATCACATCTTGTTAGCTAGCTAATGTTAGCAAAATGCTAGCTAACTAATGATTCATGTAAATTAGCTAGCTAGTTGGCTATCGTTTTGCTGACATTAGCTAGCTGTCTTAAGATGTGACTATATAAATGTCGCCTTTATCTTTTAATCGTCTTCAAAAAGGATTCTTCCACCTTCAACTACAGTTTGAACACTGTTAAAAGATCACATCTTAAGTAAGCTAGCTATTGTTAACAAAACCCTTGCTAACTAGCATGCTAATTTTCATAAAACATTTGTTAGCTAGCGTTTTACCATAATTAAATAGCTACCTTAAGATTCGACTACATATATTTTTTTTTTCCAAAATGTGGTGGTCTTTCCAACATTGACAGCTTAGCACATAGCATAAGTAGAGGAAAAGAGATGGTTCAGGACTTTGGAAGGGTCAATTCTATTTGCTGAAGACCACGAGATAGGTTGAAAGTTCTGGAGCAAGTAAGTGGACCTTGAGTTAAAATAATTTGGTCACAAGGCATGTCTCTGAGAGATAACACCTCTTAACAATCATTAAAACACAATAATATTACAATAAAATAAAGACTTTGGATGTTTGACGCACTGCGATGGTAGCTAGCTAGCATTAATGGCCTAATCGGGGACATGTTACACATTTCACACTGCTGCTACTTACTGTAATGTTTCATCTACCAACTCAAAAACACACAACACAAAATGTGGTGCACTGATACACAATAAGACTTTGATGGTATCCAAGCTATGTCCAACAGCACACACTCACCATGCTTGCCGTACAGGGATATACAGCTAGCTACAGCTAGCCCAAACAGCTTATACCACATTCACATCAACTTTAAAGTCGTCATTACGACTGGGAGACTTTTCTGAAATAATGATGTATCAAACAAATAAGGAGACCTTTATTCAGCCAAAGAACACCGTTCTAGGTGATCAACCCACACTTAAGGGATAATGTTATATTGTCAAAGCACAGTATTTTAAACCCTCACTTGACCAACACTGTAATCACACAACCAGTTGTCTGATGACATGAACGCTTACAAGTCATTAAGTCTTTCTCTACCATCCATCCCACATGATGTCAACGTGCCATTAGCAACACAGAATGACTCCATCAGGGACAGCTCCCTTCAAGGAGTGGCCATCTTCCACTGGGACATTATGAGCCCCAAAATTTAAACAATACCTGTCAGTGGAACATGATTATTCTTATCTGGGATAAAAAAAATGACATGACATGTGTCAGCAGATCAGCGGGGGTACATAATGTAACAACATTAAGAGTTATCACATGACACTGCCCCAGAAGGGACATATCCATGAGACACTTTTGGATCTCAGCATCACTCTGAGGCTGCGTCCCACTTCTGGCTCCGCTTCCTTCACAAAAAACACTTTGTAACGGATCAAAAGGCTGCCCAGATGATGTCTTTTTGTTGCATGTCTGTTTCTATAGCAACAGATATGACCACGAAACTCCATATTTTAGTGTTTTTGTTTTCCACTCTAAATGCTGCAGGAGGAAAAAAAACTGTACAAGCTAAAAGTAGGGAGACACTTTCAGACGGTTTAAGTTCTTCACATCCAAACTCCTTCTCTGTCCCCTATCACGGTGTGGATCTACTTCTTCCCCTTCCCCTTCTCCTCCTCCTCCTCATCCTCATCATCATCCTCCTCCTCCTCGCTCTCCTCTTCCTTGTCTTTCTCCTTCTTTCTGCCTCCATCGTCACCTTCCGATGCCTCTTTCTTGCTGCCGTTTTCTCCTCTGCCTCCATCTTCATCCTCAGCTTCTTTGGACTCTTCCTCGTCACTTGCACCCTGAAAACGCAAACAGATTTCAGACTTTGGTTTGATAGTGCTGAAACTGCTGCAGTGATTTTCAAAATAAAAGTCCTACTGACTAAACTTTAACACTAAACTCATGACGGAAAAAGTTGATGATTTAAATGACTGTGTGTGTGAGATGGGGGTCAAAAGGTGTACCTGCTTCAGGCGGCTCCTCCTCCTGCTCGGGACCCGGGCCTTCATCCTCCGGGACAGTGCCAGCAGCTTGTTGTGTCTCTGCCTCCTCTTCGCCTTCTCCGCCTCCTCTCTCCGTTTCTCCTCCGCATGGTCTGAGTCCGATTCGTCCTGCCGCTGCAGCCTGTTCCGCTTCTTGAGCTGCACCATCCTCTTCGGCTGGCTCCTGTCCTTCTGTTTATCCTCCTCCTCCTCCCCGGAGCTGGAGGATGAGGAGCTGTCGTCGCCTCCTAGGAATGAGCGCTTCCTGCGGGTCACTGAGCGGCTGTCGTCGCTCGAAGTCGCCCCGGAATCGCTCCGCTCCCGACCCTCCTGCTCGCTGTCCTCCTCTGGGGAGCTCTGGAAGTCGGATTGGGATCCGGAGGAAGAGGAGGAGGAGGAGAAGGAGCCTTCGTCACTGTCGTCCAGGATGGAGGCGGGTAGGCCGATCTGGCGCTTCTTCGATGCGTCCACCTTGGTTTTCCGCATCGACGCGAACATTTTCCGCTTGTACAAGCTCTCCATGTCTGCACGCGGTACCGGAGCCCAGTGACATTAAACAGAAACCCGACGAGAGAGAACCGGACTGACTGGAAACAAGCTAACGGTGCGGCTAGTTAGCTCCTATCGTCTGCGCGTCACAGCAGCGACAGCATGTTATTTCTGTGTTAGAAAGACAATATGGCGCCTGAATTCACCTCCGTCAAGATATATTTTGGACTCTGTTCATGGAAACGTTCTGCCTGTATGTGTTAAAGCAGGATAAACAGGCTACAAAAAGGACAGTTTGCAGCTGTTCTCCTCAGTGTAGCTAGCTCTGTGTTATTGTTGTTGCTCCCGCGTCTTCTTCGCTGGACGGAATTACAGCTTGGTGCGTTAGAGCGCCCCCTGCGGCGGAGAGCAGCTACTGCTCAGAGCTGTCATTACAGGTCCAGTGTGTAACATTCAGGAGGATCTATTGTCAGAGATGGAATGGAGTGAGCTGTTTTTATCTACAGTGTTTTTCAAAGCCACCTTAGTTTCTCCTACATACTTGGAAGGCGAAGAGTATTCAGTTGGTTGCAATCTTCAATCTCACTGCTAGACGCCGCTAATGTTTACACACTGGTCCTTTAGTGGTGGTAAGAATGTAAAATAAAAATAATGACACTGAAAAATATTAAACTACATCAAATTAAAATTAGACTAAAATAAAGTACGCAGCTGAAATTAAATATACAATATGAAATCCATGAAAAAGGAAGCACTGTTAAAGACAATGTCACTATATAAAAGAATTAACTAACCTGTAGGCAAAACCGCCAACACAGTAATTACCAATGACCTAATTAAGGTTCTGTTCCATTTAGTGTAGCAGAACCTTTACAGCGAGCCAGCATGTACAGTAGCAGCACCCTGACTCTGTTTGACCTGAATGGAACAGAACCTTTTAGCATCATAGGTAACACCTGTATTTACCCTAATATTTCATGTCAAAATCACTGCTGTGAAAAAGGTCTACAAAGCACTTGTAGGGCTTTTCACAGAGCACATTTTGACACGTGACAGCAGGAACAGCACAGATGAAAATACTTAATAAATGATGGCTGAATTTTCATTTAGCTGCTTCAGTTTCAGGGGCCTGTTATCGTGCATGCTGGCTCACTGTTACACTTGCTGCATGACCAGATGCATGTTTTATAAGTTATCGCCCTCGCTGTTAACTTGTGACTACCTTTTTAAGCAGGTCTCTCCCAAGAGCCTGGTGGGTGGAGTCGGGTCATCGACAATGTTCACTTCACCTGGTCTGGTGGCAAGACTATATAAGCTGGAGGCAAGCCAATGGGGTCGCACTCTCCGTTGGCTTGGTTTGGTTGAATTTAGTTTGTCTTTAGCATAATTTCTCTTTTAGTAATGTAAAATAAAAAAACAACATATGTTTAGTTATAATTAGTTATTATGTTCTCTCCTTCTTTGAGCCAGGTTGTGACAAATGGGGGCTCGTCAGGATAAAGACCCAACACAGAGATAAAAGGAGAGCCAGTGTTGGAGAAACAACTCCAATGCGATGATAACATTGCTCTGCTGGATGTGGAATTTGGCTGCTGCCGGCTAATGCGTTAGCCACAACAACTCTATAAGGCAATAATATGTCAGGTTTGTCAGTCTGTTGGACTGTTTTGGATTTCCTCTGCCCCCTAGAGGCATAGGAAAATCAATGAAAGCAGCTTTAAGAAAGAAACATGCTTTTACACTGAAACTTCAGTGAGATTTTAATGTTAATATGAATTTATAACAGGTTGGTGAGTTTGTATCAGCTCATGATCAATACAACAAACTGTACTACATTCTGGAATAATCTCTATCAGTGAATCAGTTTATTATAAACTCTGATGACATTTGCAGGTGTTCGTTTAGGACTTCTGTGCCAGGAGCGTGCTCAGTTTGATCTTCCCATCCATGGAGGCGGTCAGGCAGGTGCCGCAGTCCACAGCAGAGCACCAATCAACTGTCACCACTGGTGCTTTGTGCCCGCCCAGTGACAGCACGTTCTCCAGAGCCGGCTCCCCATTGGTGAGCTGGAAGAGGGGAGTTGAGAGGTGGCAAATTAAAATATAAAATATATTGTAAATGAAAATATTCTTTTGATTGATCTGAATCTGAATTTAAAGTCAGAGCAGTTCAGTGTGGATGAGAGTGCTTATGTGAGGATGAAGGTGAATTTACTCTGTATATAAGTCCTCCGGTGCTGGAACAGGTCAGGACGTGTTGTCCTTCAGAGTCGAAAGCAAAGAGCCGACCTCGAGGAACCTGAACCTGAACAAGAGTTCATTCACAAATTCAGTCATTACACTTATTTTATTTAATCAATTTCAACTTTTACCCAGTGTTCCATCAGCAATCCATCAAATATAAAGTTACAGTAGTCTTTGAGGTAAACCTACACTGCTTACCTGTTTGTATCCACTATACCCTGACAGGACGAAGGGCCCTGTGGCGTCCTGAGGTAAGACCTGCTCCGACTGCTTCACCCCACACCGATGGATGTTCCACTGGATGAACTGAACACACAAACACACACATTTAATCACTTAACTCAAAACTGCTACGCTGGTTTCTTTCCAAATGTAACATGCCCTGCAACATTAAAAAACGATTTCAAAAAGACTTAAGACATTTTTAGGATTGTAGTCATTCTGTCACCATCATGGATTTTCCACAAAATAAACACACACACCTTGCCATCTTCTCCGATGCTGAAGACGGTGTTTTCATCGTAGCTAAACTCCACGCTGTAAACTTCACCATCGTGAGCTCGCCAGCTCATAGCGCTCTCATACCGCTGCATATCTACAGCAGAGAATTCAGAGTACAGTGTATTATGTTGTGGAAAATGGTTAAAAGATAAAAGCTAGATAACTAACAACTGATAGCTAGCCAGTTAGCAATCATTTTGCTATCATTACCAAGCTAACTTAAAGAACCGGTGTGTAGGATTTAGTGGCATCTAGCAGTGAAGTTGCAGATTGCGACTAACTGAACATGGTTCGTGTCTGTATATTTGACGACCTGGGAATGAGATCGGAATACTGTAGAAACGTGGAGGTTCAACATGGCGGACTCCATGGAAGGCGAACCGCAGTGTCTATAGATGAAAAACGGCTCATTCTGATTATACACTAATTAAATCATACCTATGAATAATATATTCAATTTCTGACAATAGATCCTCCTCAATGTTACACACTGGACCTTTAAGATGCAACTATATGTTTTTTCAACATAGATTAGCCTAGCACATAGCACATCTAAGTTCAGGAAAGGAAAAAGTTGATCAAGGTTCAGACTGAGGCTTGATCAACTGTTGAGCACAGAGCAAAAAGGGGAGGGACTTAGAAAGGGTCAATTAAGGTCATCTGTCATCATTTCTGAGATTCTACAGTGTAAGAGATGAATCTACAATGAAAACAATGTGTCCCGGATAAACACTGACCAAACAGTCTGATGACTCCGTCAGCAGCTCCGGTCACCAGCAGGTTTCCATTGTGGTTGAAGGCTGTGCAGTTAATGGCTACGGGTTCAGGTTCTAAAGAGAACTGGAGCTGAGGGACAGAGAGGACACTTATGATACCACAGCCACAGGAAATCTATACACTAAAGCTAATGCTAACTCATGCTAATGCTAACACTGATCTAATCTAATTTTGGCCAATGCGTTCCGCCCCTTTTGATCTCCACAAGAACAGTTAACCTGCACGCAAACTAAGCCCGCTCAACCGTGATTGGTCCATACTACTCGGACTGCAAACAGAAACTAGAACACTTGCATTGTGGGTAATATCAGGCACCAGATTTTGACAGGCAAGACGAATGTGTGAAATAAAACAGGCAATATCTCTGGTTCTGCTGCATGGATCCTTTATAGCCAGTTAGTGCAAAATCAGTAGGGTACTCTTTACTGCTACTTACTACCTAATAGCTTAATAACTGCTACTGAACTGGCTGGATAATTACCTGTTGTTTGACAGTCTTGGTGTCCCAGAGCAGCAGCTGTCCTGAGACCGGGATAGGAAGTCGAGGGACAGAATCGGAGCTCCCAGATCGACTGAGAGCTGCAGCTGAACAGACAAACGACGAACCGCTGGGACTGCAGGCTAAAGACAAGATACTGAGAGACACGGGGGGGATATTATTATTATTATCAGAGTTTGTACTTTAACAACGGATATTATTTATTGCCACGCGATAAAATGCAAATCTCAAGCATAGTGTTCACACGTCTCTGGAGTATGTATACTATAAAGTGTTTTTCTACTTGTATCATCAGTGGGGGTCCTCCAACATTACATAATTTCACAATTCTGCACTCAGTGCAGTTCACTACTGTACACCAGATAGTCACACAGGCTTACCGTGGATGAGTTTCGTCGATATTCATCTCATAGAGATTCTTCTTGGCATCCGTATCATACAGCCGCACCGTGCCAACACCGCTGCCTAGTAATAACTGACACACAAAGAAACTTGTTTTTCTTATCTTATCTTACATTAATTACCTGTAGACTTAAACCTAATTGCTACATGCCTAACATAGGCAAACCTAACATAACCTTAGCTAAAACCCAAGTCTTAACCCTAAAATGTAGTGTTTTAACTTGCTTTATCTGTATGTTTGTCTTGGTTTTCCTTCTTTACGGTTTTGTGTATTGTATTTGTACGTGTTTTATGTAAAAAAAAAGTTTTAGGGTTATAAATATGAGATTTAAAACTATTATTAATAATATAAATTAATAATTATATAGTAATGGTGTCACTCTCCCTGTGCTTTTGTTGCTATCACAGCCTCTCTGTGGTTCGTTTCTATAGCCGGTCTGCTCCGTGTGCAGCTCAGTAGAGCCACTGAAACTGCTGTTTTTATCAACTACGTCGGTGAATTAAGGATTTATTTCAAGTTGGTAATGTTGAAACAGTGGAAAGACTAACAAAGTAAGTTTTATTTTGTTTCTGTCCTTCTGAACTTCTGAATGAAGTTACGATGTTACAATAACATGCGAGTATTATAAATGTATCAGCTTTGTTGCACAGAAATCACATCTGCACTAAAACACTACACTAGTACTGGCACAGTCAGAGCACATTATTGTTGCAAAACACTGGAACACAATGCTGAATTTATCATAAAGCTCTACCTGTGACTTCACCCTGCCATCCACAACGTGACAGCTGAAGTTTGAGCAATAAATGTAAGTGGTTATTATGAAACATGAATGTAATACTTTATACTGAGAACACAGGATGTCTTATGTCACCCTGTGCTTCAATGGACTTGCTGTTTTTTCCCCCCATCTATTTCCTGTCCTCAGTGCCAGATTCTTTTGGGCGGCACATCACCAGCCGTGAAATCAATTAGCGGGCCGAGTCTGCATAATACAACAGCTTCCACCCCTGTGAAATAAAGTGAGAGCAGTCTCTGGGTGGATCAAACAGCTCATGCACCAAAGTGGTGACCTCTTCTACCTTGCAGTTTGTCTCTCCTTTTATCATTCACTTGCAGTTATCACCAGCATCTCCATGGATACAAACACTTCCTCTGGATATCGTGCAGCTGATTGCTGGTGGAAGCAGTCCGACTGCTTCCACATAGACCGAGGTGTTACAAGAATATACAGCAGTCAAGGTTCAACCAGAGAGGACAAGATGTCCCGGTTAATCCTTAAATCCTTCAAAAGTAAACCTGAAACATTTCCTTAACATTAGTACAAGCGAAATATTCTTGGCCACGTGTGAAACTAACTGCAGAGGAGCAGCCAATGTAATCATCATACAAACACCCGTGTTAATTCAAGACATTTCAATTTGCCAAATAGCCCTCTGATACAATTCATATCCAATTAAAATGCAAATCCTGCATTTAATCGTCTTCTGCAACCAACGCCTTGATATGTGTCGTCAGTGTCGGGGAGCAGAAGCAGTGATACTGATATTTCAGAGTGAATCCAGGCTATCCAGAGCACATTATTCTGCTGAAAGGTAAGAATTTTTTTATTTTTTTTATTCATCCATTTATATAACTTCTTGTTTTGTCAGTACATGTGTATACTAGAACTTGCATATCATTAATAATTAATAAATAAATAAACCTTTTGATGAATATATCAAAAGTATTTCACTTAAAACTATAATTCTTGCATGCACTGCACTCGAACATGCTAAATCCACTCTATTTAATCTAAAACAAGGTCCATAGTAAGAATATTGAGAGGAAATAAAGAATATATACTCCTGGAACATTCATCTCTCTTACTATAGGATAGAAAGAGTCCTCATATAGATGCAAGTAGACTGCCTGACTTGACATTAGCCTTTAGTCACCGCCCCTGCATATCCAGCAGGTTGACCTATTCTAACCCCCATTGTTCTGTCCTCATTAGATTCTTGTACCCTTCCCATTCAAAACAAAGGCCAGTGAATAAGCAAGTGCTTTTGTTCTGCCCTGGTAATAGACTGACTGATGAAGTGCTGAGTCCACTCAGTACAGGGTTCCCACTCATTTTAAAAGGGACCAGGGAGTGCAGGGCAGGCTG